AAGCCCAATCTTTTTACAAAGTGATTTATTTAACAAATAGTTTTCATGATAAGAAGTTCAATTTTGAGCCAGAGATACACAGCTGATATTTGGTAGTATAAACCTAAAAAATTAGAGAAAAATACAAATTTAAAAATTTTAGTACAAGTCAAATGAAATGTTCCATAAAGATAAATGTGTCATGGATAATAATGAAAAATAAACAGTATTTCATTATCATTTCTTGTTTTATCTCATTGTTGTTTTTTCCCCCTTTGTAATAATTACCTATGCACAAACTCTAGATGGCAATATTGCACTTACTGTACTTTCAAGAAAATTGTCACAGTCAGTCCCCACATAGCCTCTTTATCAACATTTTATGTGCCACAGATCTATAGCCTCTTATTATAAGTGTAATGAAGCAGAAGTTATTGAAGCATTTTATTGATTGCTCAGATCACAAGTTTACTGCCATACTGAATTGGCACCTTACTCGCTGAAGCAAACTGCTGACACCTTTTTTAAAAAGTGACAACTACATCTATTTCATGACCAGAAATCCATTTTCATCTCTATCAAGACAAGAATGCAATTTTCACTTCATTTAACTGATGTTAGGCCTGCTCAAAGCATGACACTTAGAAAAAGACACAAGTTTAAGGTTCTTAAAATACTTCAAGTAACTAGAATGCAGCTTGGTTTCAGAGGAAAATGCACCACTCAGATCTATAAAACAAACTAATATTCTAAAAAATTACCTCTCAGAACCTGCAGAAGCAGTTTTCATTTTGAAACATTTGCAACACAACTTTAATGTTTTTAATAGTAAGTAATATTTATATGTTATCGATTTTGTCCAAAGATTTCAAAGAACATCAAGAAGTTCAAAATTGAAATATTTGGGGTATTGAGACAGGATGGGTAAATCAAGAAAAAAGCCCAAATTTTAATGTACATACAGATGGGGATCGAGTGCAGAGCAAAGTACTGTATTACTTACTTGAAGGTTGCTGAGAGTGTGTCTCAAATGTTCTCACCACAAAAAATAGTAATTCTGAGATGTGGTAGAGTTGTCACTTTTAACTACACTTTCAGTAAATTTGATACTTAGATATCAAATCAATAATAAAATATAATTCTATTCATAATAGAATTACTATGCAGAATATGCTTGAATTACATTTAGTGCTAACAGGATTTGTTTATTGCAAAATGTTTTTTTTAAGGAATCTTAGTATTTTAATTTTCAAGTAAGTAATACAGTACATTTCAGTTTTAAACTGCAAAATCAATATGTGCTGAAGTTGGATGGTCATTTCTTCATCTAATTATAAAATTACAGTACAGTTACAGTTTTAAAAGTGAAACCTAATTTTAAAATACATTTATTGCCTGAGATTTTTAAACTCAAAGCACCAAATATGGAGAACTTAGAAATAGTGCATAATAGCATTTAAAAAACTACTTTACTTAAATTAATTTTAAAAAGGACCATATATCACAAAAATTTAAATCTGTTAGGCAGAAAATTATACTTTTTAACAAACTTCATTAAGTAATGATCTGTTACAAATAACCCAGGTTCACATTTCTAAATTAAAATTATAAAAATAAAACTGAAGCTTTGGATATAAATAGAAGTTGTCAGGATTTTTTTCTATATAATACTAAAGTTTAGAAAATGCCCTAAGATTGTAAGAAATATTTGAGGGTGTCTTACTGTTTACATAATCAAACAAGCTAAAATTTAATTTCAAAGTTGGTTATTTCTTTCCAAAGAGCTAAAAATCAGGAGTAGGATTAAAAATTTCTTCAAGTTTTTTTCATGTCTTAGCTACCAAAGAGACTATGATTTTCGTGTGTGTGTGTGTGTGTGTGTGTGTGTGGTGTTTTCAAAATTAAGATTGTGGTTGTTATGATATTATAATTAGCTATCCTTTGTTTCTGTGAATTTCAGAAATTATGCAATCTATAACAACTGTTAGGCTATTCTGTAAACACTTTAAATGATTAGAATTGTATGTTTATGAGCTCTTGTAAAAACTGGTATTTTAAAAGAAGAGTGCTATGCATTCATTACACAAAAGTCTCCAAGAATTTTGTTGGTTGCGGGAGCAAAAAAAAAGAATCAAAGCAGTATCAAAATTGGGTAGACATTCCCAGAAATGAATGTTTCCCCAAAATCACGTTTGAACTAAAGATCAGCCACTCCGAATCATTATTTATATAGCCTCCTGGCACAGTTCCATGGACTTTTATGCATCTCTACAGTGTTTCTGAACAGACTGACACATATTTTGTTTACTGACAGCAACTAAAAGCTCTATGTAGGATCATAAATAAAGAAGATCATGTTTAAAAATCACTAATATCATTTTAAAAGGTAGTGCAGGCTTGTGTTTTGGCCTCTGGTTAGCTGTGTTAGGCCTATGAATGACAGCTTCCCTGCTTGAAGCACACAGAAAGCACAGCCTTCCTCATTCACTGACAGGACTGTGGCCTTTTCACACGTTCCTTCCACAGCAGTGTTTGTCCCCAAACACTGGAACTCGACACAATGGCATTCCTACTTCAACACCCCCACCAACAGCACCACTACATAACAAGAATGCTAATGAGATGGAGCAGGCCCTGTCTCCGAAAGTGTTAACTGCATTTTATATGAACTCATTTATGCTACTTCAAAAATTACAAATTAAATAGATTCTGCTTAGATCTGAGCAATTTCTAAGATGTTTCCACTTTTAAGAAAATAAATGTGAAAATGTGAGAGTAAGTGACTTTATGCTGTCCTAAATATATCGCATTTGATATACATGAATCCGTATATATTTAAGACCACACAAATGGGCTTAATTCGGTTGCATGCTATAATAGCCAAGTTAAAGATAAATATTAAAAAAATGACTAAGTTCATAAACATAAATACAGTAGTTCTGACTTTTCTTTTAAAGCTATATTATAAGAGTTTACTTAGCAGAAATTTCCTGATTCTAAAACAGCAATTTAAAGTCTACTATCTTTTAAGAGAATCCTAGCAAAACAATATTGTTTTTTTATATATGATCTCAGAAGTGAAATAAATGGAAATTATATTAAGCGTTTATATAACCCTAAAATTTATAAGCTTAGATTCATTAAGGGAATCGGAACCATCATCCATCTCCATTTTCTCTATCTAGGGATTTCTTAACACGATCTTCTCTAAAGCTAAATAGAAAAGGCTGTCCCTAAGGTCAAATGAAGTAAATGCAGTTCAAATAAAGTTCATTAATGCTGAGAGGAATATTTGCTAAGTCCTACTGACAAATAAAACTGTGGCCTGGTTTAACACTTCACCACTCCATGACCTGATAATGGTCCTACTACAGTAATCTTTCTAAACTGCAAAATTTTAAATTAAGTCATAATATAACAATACAAAAGAGATTCAAAAATACATATAATTGAGAATATCTAAAAGAAATAGAAATGTGCATGAAATGCATACTATGCAAATATCTATTTCTTTCCCCCCGTTTTTATATTTAAAAATACAATTTAAACAAATATCATACTAAAACTATTGAGTGAAAAGCTTTAAGTTATAACAACTTAGCGAAAGGAAAAAAAAGGTTTATTTATGAATGGCAAAGAACCTAAGGTTTTAAATATTTCTAAATTTGGCATAATGTTGATAATATAGACAATTTCCGAGGTGCTAAAATGTTAATTTTGTTCATATGTATGTGTAATATTTATTTTAATAAATGTGTTTTCATCAATTTTGAGTAGTAATGAAATCTTTACATTCAAAACAGCAAGTCTTAAAGGATTTTCTTTTCTTACAATACACAGAAAATTTTTCAATCTCATACAAATGTTTATCTCTATTTAAATTTTAAATATTGAAGACAGTGGAAGAAAAAAGCATGCCATATCTACTTTCTGAGCTTTTTTTTTTAATATATGACACTCTGACTTTTAATAAAATTTAGAAAATGCTTAAGTTCTTTTTAGGTTTGATATAAACAGTGCTTTCCTTGCATTGGAGGATGGTCTCATGTTTTCTTTAACATTAAATAATTTTAAACTAATTAGTGGAATAAAACCATTTAATACCAAATAAATGACTGTAATTAAATTGGTTAAGTCCATTTTATAATACTGTATCATAAAGGTTAAATAATACTTTAGTTAAAGTAATTTAATCTAAATACAATCAAATATATTTTACACTGTTTTTATATATATCAGCTTAACAAAGTATTAAAAATAAGATTGGATTTTTACATTTTCGTATTTATTATAATAAATAGCCTTATCCATCATAATTATTCATCTCATTTATGGGTTCACTGAAATTTATTAGCCAGGCAAACCAATTGAATTTTGAGAATAAAAGTTTCTTACGGGAAGCTGTTTCTTGCTAGTTCTGGACACCTTAGTTCAAGAATTTCCTCCAGTCAATACAAGTTGTTCTTTTCCCAACCAGACAGCAGGAGGTGCTGTGTGAACACTGAGACTGGATCTTATTCCCACCTCCCCTCCCCCAGTACACAGAGAATAATACCATGATGCTTTCAAAATATTCATTTTTCAGCAGCTTGTGACCTGAGATAATGAGCCCAGTTCTAAACTGAAACCTCCCAGTTAGAAATGTAAAACCTAGCTCTTATTTAACGTGGTAAAATGTATACTTGACTTAAGATTAAATGCAAAAAGGATTCTAAAAATATGGCAACTCCATTTTTATTTTTTAAATGTCATCAATCATTCTGCTTTGCAACGTGAATTCTACTTTGAAATAAGTCAGAGTCCCTGTAGGTAATTATAAAAATATCAAAGTCTTCACACACACTCACAATTATGGATTGGGTATTTAGAAATTAGAGGAGAAACTTTACTTTAACCTAATTCAAATACATTAATTCTATTTCTATACTTTCAGGTTCAGAAACATACAAATTAAATAAGCATAAATGAGTAAGTTACACATGACATGAAGTTAATTTACCATTTTATTTCCCAGAATACAATTAGTTATATTTTAGCCCAACTTCTACAACAGCAATTCTGATTGCATACTGGGGAAAAAAGAAAAAAAAAAGGCTGAACATTTAAACCTTCAAATAATTTACGAGCTATTCATTTTCTTATTTAAAGTAACTGCCTGTAGAATTTCCACATAAGAAGTTGCCTTTGCTTTGCACAGTATGTAGCAAGAAAAGATGAGACATATGACATCCCATAGCAAAAGACAGATACAATTAGTCCCATTATTGCTGGCTTCAGGATTACAGAAGAAGCATTTTGGCTCTCAAACAGGCACTGAGCTCACAAAATACATGTCACAGTTCTTTTATGACACGATGCCAATCATTGCTCCTATACAATCAAGTACATTTTAAAACACAAAATTAAGCAGTTTTTAAAGAGGGGTGACTCACCTGTTTATAGTATTTTTTTGCAGACTTTAAGCGTTGGTACAAGGCCAAAAGAACTCCTTGGATGTATATCTTAGCTCCTGAGGGGCTGAAACCTTCTCCCTTAGAGACCCAAACTGGTCCCCGCAAAGGTGTGATGGAATTTTGCAAGCATTTTTCAAGCAGAGGAACTATGCAAGAAAATAAGGGAAAATAAATTCTTTTGACCAGACGGAAATACACTGCCTGGAACACAGAGCCCCAATAGCAGAGCTAACTCTTAGCATCTATTATTTATATCTGACCTAGGTTAAGTCTTAGAGAGGCAATTCCTGCATAACTAGTGGCCACCATGAAGGATGTACTTATATTGAGACACCCCCCATGCAAGACTCATAAGCGTGTGAGCACACCTGAATAGTTCTGAAGTGTGCCTAACTAGCTGCACAGAGTGTCATGGTGTGCACTGATTGCCTTATCTTCTCATTTATCACAGATGAGTTGGAACCAACCTTGCTGAAACCTACTTGCATTGTCCTGATAAAATGGTAAGATCCATGTTGTTTCTGTGTATAGCTTCCCGTAGAGGAGTCTATATCCCTAAAACATCACATCTGGAAATTATTCATAAAATATACCTTTATCAGCCACCCTACTCAACTCTCCATTGCTATTGCTTAAATAACCCATAAAACAGGGTGGCAAGGCTGTTTAAAAGTTAAAGGGAGACTCTTAAGCAAGCAGTTTGTCAGACCTTTTTGTTTTTAAGTTTGGGGGCTATAAGCTGGTGAAAGATTTGGGAAAGCTATTCCAGTGTGCGCTTTGTAAACAGAGATATTTACTTGTGGGTCTGTATTGCAACATCCATAAGGACATAACAGACATGTTTATACACTTTTTCACACGATTAGCTTATGAAGTCTTTCTAGTGTGAAATAGTCAAATAACATGGCAGCTAGATAACATTTTTCAGGATTTAATTTCCCTCTAGAAAAGCAGAAATAAAGAAATAAAAAAATATTTTAGGCACACTTGGGAACCTAGAGAAATACATATATATTTTTTCTTTTACTTGAACTTTACTGGTGTATACATGTAACACAACATAAACATATAAAATAACTATATAGCTTGGCTTCCTTATTCTGATACATGTTTTTACTCAAAAAGAATTTGAATGGATCATCAGCAAAGACAGGTCCATGCCATTGGTTATGTTATATGTTGCATATTTTATGCAGAGAGGCTGAGCTAGCAATCTGGAAATTGAATTACAATTAGGTTCAGCTGAGCTGCTGAGCAACTGAGTTATGCAAATGGCCTTTGCTACTGGTATTCTGCTGAATTTTGCTCTTAGTAAAAAAGTTCTGCATTTGATGGCACTAAGTTCTGCAACTCTCTACCAAGGTACAATTTAAATTCTTTCTAATACATTCAGCACTAAGAAGAACATTGGAAATAGAGTTTAAGATTTTTCTAAAACTACTATAAATAAAGTTAAAAGGAAATTATGACCCAATGACTATTTAGACATCTTCAGATATGAGCATGAAATTCACTTACCCAGCCTAACAATAAATTCCTAAAATCCACATATTGAAACCACCTTATACTCTTAGAGCAACTGAATTTCTCTATAAATTTTATCAAAACAAACACCTCAAACTTTTTAAAAATATATAAGATCACACATATTATACAAGAAATAAAAAGTAAAAGAAACTTATTTTCAGGATCATAACTCTTTAATCTTTCAAAAAAATGTATAATATAAACCCATCTTGATTACAATTTTTCCTAAAGAAACCTAGCCTCAGAATTATCAGTGCTTTTAGTTAACTGCTACACATTCATATATTACTGTGTATTATTAGATTTTAATTTGTATACTTTTAATTGGTACAGTCATTGAACATAGCACAGTTTTGAGCATGGAAAGGCATACATGAGTAGCTGTTAATTAAGTTAAACAAGTTAAGAAATAGATAATAAACTTGAGTAATTTACATCCTAGATTTAATCTTGAATTTAAACCTAAGAAAATTTTATCAGATTCTCTACCCTTTTAGCCTTATTCATCTATGCCTGTGTCAAAATAACTTTCAAATTCTTTATGTCAGACCAGGGGATTCCAAAGAAAAATTTCAGAGGTCTTCTAACACAAAACTGCTTTTTTCAGAGTTTGAAACCTCCATAAGAATTTAAGAAAAAAGAATACAGCTTAGAAAAAAACACACCACACAAATTATATCAAAATGCAAGCTGTGTCAGAATTGATATTGGATGGGAAATAGCTCCCATGCTCCACATGATTTATATAATTAGGAATACTGTGGAAACCAGAAACAGTAAAGCAAAGAAAGCAGTATTCACAAGCAGGTTTTATAAGGGACTTCAGAATCTGCTCTGAACTTGTTGAATAATCTGTTCAGTATTCCAGAATCTCCCTGCTGGAAGCAGGGTCCTCATTATAACCACGAGAGTGCTAATAAAGGTTAGCCTCTGAACTAGGGATTAGAAGGCTCTTTCTTTTTGGAAGCTGCAAACTAGTAACTTTGATGATCTTCTTGAAAAGGAAGACAAAGCACACTCCAAGAACAAACAATGTTTCCACTAACTAGGAAGGTACAGAAAACATAAGAAAATGATACGCCTAAGCACTTAGAAAGGAAGTATAAATGTTAATATACTGAAAAAATAGAAAAAAATAAAATTTATTAACCATTTAAAGAACTCTCCTTAAAAAAGCATTGGCCTAACATGATAGTTATAAAACATAATAGAAAATTTGATTTAAAAACTTTACTTGACTTTTCAACCCCAACTATAGCTTTTAAGGTCACAATTATTCTTAAGCATTTTAATTAATATTCATATTATTCTATACCAAAGAAGACTCAGAACTATTAACCAAAGGTTTTCTTTCTTTCATGTAGAATTCTCCTTTTCTCTGTTTCTAAAGCAAAAAATTTCATTCTGTTAAAGAAGACTATTGCATAAGGATTTGCAAGAAATAAGAGCAATGGTTTAGAAAGGATAATCATAAATACTTTTCAACCTTGGAAAGAGCGTAAACCTAGATGTTTCTATGGGCTAGCAAAACCCACAATATATACATAATGAAAAAAATGTCTTTCCCAGAAAATGAACTCCGAGATATTATTTTGTGTGTCCTGCCAAACCATGAGGTTCTCCTTCAAACTGCTACTCAGAAATAATGCTTCATTCAAGGTTAGCTGGCTCCTATTCCTATGTTCCATCAAGATTTGTGTGCATAGCCACATACAGCATTTCCCTTACGGTTGAAGTCTTTCTTATGGGTGTTCTCCCTATTTTCTCCTATTTACATGACTGTGACAAGAATTTTGCTTCTCTATAATTTCAATATTTTCATTAAGCAAATCCTCGACATTTTTATTAGATAAATGGTTGGAAATGAATCACTCCTTAAATTTATCAACATGTATAGATCAGTCAAATGTGATCATTTCATTGAGATCATTTCTACCACTGTAAAGGTGAAAAGTTATATGGATGATCACTTTTTACACATTTTGCTTATACATTTATACAATGTTACCACTATAGGGCACTTTGAAATTAACCTGATAGTTCCAATGGATTTGGAGTTAAAATTGACAATGCTGGGTAAATGAAATCATGTGACCAAAAAGAGTAACTTCACTAGCTAGAGTTAGTACTGAGCATATTGGGTAAATAGATCATATGATTAAAAGTAGTAGCTATATCAATTTCATAACCATCAACCTATACTTTTCTCACTCATGCTATTCCATTTCCTTTACATCTCCTCCTTTTTTTCTACCTGTTAATATATTCTCATCCTTCAAGGCTCATATAAAACACTATGTCCTCTGGCAAAACGTCCTAAGAGCCCTAGCTGGTTTGGCTCAGTGGATAGAGCATAGGCCTGTGGACCGAAGGGTCACAGGTTCGATTTCGGTCAAGGACACATGCCCAGGTTGCAGGCTCAATCCCCAGTAGGGGGCGTGCAGGAGGCAGCTGATCAATGATTCTCTCTCATCATTGATGTTTCTATCATTCTTTCCCTCTCCCTTTTTCTCTGAAATCAATATATATATATATTTATTTATTTATTTATTTATTTAAAAGTCCCAAGAGCTTTAATTAATTGCTACCCCCTCTGATTCCCAGAGCTTTGTTTATACTTTTATTTTTCCCTTATTGATTTGTATTAGTCCTTACTTCTCCCCTTCCAATTCCATCCTCCAGTAAATCATTAACCCTTTGTGGTTTTAGGTGTTGATATTTTTCAGTTTTGTAAAAGCAGTGCTCAATAAATGATTACTGGATGATAAATATAATTTAGAAATATACTTTAGAAATATACTGTGGAAAGTCTTTTAGATAAGTTTTAGTAGGATAAAAATATGATCAAAATTTTATAAATAAATGTAAATATACCAGAATTTTGAAGCAAATTTAAGGTATGTATGTATGATGGTTTTATTTTAATTTTCCATTTAAAATTATTTTGAAGACTAGGAGGAAAATGAATATAAGAAGAAAACAAATATGATTTGGTAATGAAGCATTAACTAGACACGAGAAGGCCAGAGGTAGGTATTTTATCTCTATCCACTGAGCCAAACCGGTTTCGGCCAGAGGTGGGTATTTTAAAAGTCCTTGGGAAATCTTTATGTCCTTTATCCTACCCTGTCATAAATCATGCTACCATGGGAAAAGACACACAATGAAACTTAAATAACATAGAATTAATATTAGATTAAGGTCAAAATAGCTATTTTAAATAATAAAGGTAATTCCCTCTAAGAACTCCAAACACAATGAGTTCAAATGCTATTCATAAGAAAATAAACTGTTAAGCCTTCAAGAAGACTTTATATTAAAACCACTTCATCACTGATAAGAAGCTTAAATTTATTTGGATTTATAATGGGAACAGAACAAGGATTTCTGACAAGGAGCCAAAAATTCCTCTAAAGAGAGCATAATGGAACTTACCAAATAGATATAGACTGGAATGATCTACCAGTTTCTATACCTAGGGAACAAATAGCTCTTGTCAACATCTCATTTGAAGAGAGACACTATATCTAGTACATTTGAGTCTACTATGGAAAGCTAAAAAGATGATTTTTTATTAATATCGTTTCAAAAAGCATTGGAAATTGTCAAAGTCGTTAAT